CCTATAAAATAAAAAATAATTTCCTTTGAGCTAAATTTAACCTGTTTCTCTTACAATATATATATATATATATATATATTATATGGAAAAGAGCAGCTTTAACATTCTACTAAACATCTCCTTTTGTGTTCCACTGAAGAACGTCAGTCACTGGGTTTAGAATGACAAGAGGATGAGCAAATGATGATAAAACTTTCATTTTGGAGTGAAATATTTAATATTGGACAAACAGAAACTCTCATGAACGCATTACGATAAAGGGAACCTGTACTGAATGAAGGATCTGGCAGTAGGTAGGAGTGATGACTCTAAGATACCATCATCTGACTGAGGTTAAGCAGCGTGAGGCAGTAAGGGTTTGTCATCAGAAGATAAGAGTCTTCCAGCAGCAGCTACAAGGATATTTTCTTATTACTTGATAGCAAATATTTGCTTGTCCTTAATACTACACATAGTGCAAGTTGATATGAAGACAATACACTTCCTGTCTACTTTTCAACAGCTCATGATACTGATGTAACTACAACCCTCTTTTTTTCATAATGAAAACATTTTTAAAAAAGTAAAGCAACCTATTTAGTAAATCCTTTATGCTATTTTGGCTTGTTAACGTTAAAATATACGTTTACATTTTCTGAATGTGTGTGGAGCAAAATGTCACTGTCACAAGTTAAAGTGTGGTTTTAACCAAGTTACATACGTGGTTGTTTAAATGGTTTTACAGTGTTTCTCATCCGGGGGTAAGCGCACCCCTAGTGGTCCACCATGTAATTCCAGGGGGTCCGTTGAATCATTACAAAAATGTTTAAGACATTTTGTTTTTTATTATCATAAACCGAAACTTTATTTTATTGTATATTGACACTAATATAATTTTCAAAACCAGTCAATTTTAGGTTAAAGTTCAAGTACTGTAGAGAGAGAGAGAGCGAGAGAGAGAGAGAGAGAGAGAGAGCTGACAGCGGCATAATTACCTGGGTCTGTCTTTCTTCAGGTCAAGTCATATAATCATGAAAAAACATCAGTTTGCCATCAGCTGTCAGAAGATGAAAGCGATATCTTTGTTGTAGTATCCTTTCAGCATTTAAGGGGATTTCACATGATTGGAAATTCCCCCCTCCCCCTATAGTAATGTGCTATAATAAATAGCACATTACTATACTGCTTTTATGGGTTTCTGAGGGTTTTCTTAGCATGATTAGCACATTACTGCATTTATCGTTGTCTGGGGAGTTTGTAGCATGATTTGCACATTTCTGCTTTTATGGGTTTCTGAAGTGTTTTTAGCATGATTAGACCATTACTATACTGCTTTTATAATATGTTTCTGAGGGGTTTTAGTATGATTAGCACATTATTATATTGCTTTTATGGGTTGCTGATGGGTTTTTAGCATGATTGGCACATTACTGTTTTTATGCTAATGGTCCATGTCAAAGAAGCCAGCCCTCAAATCTCAATTATATTCAGGTCTCTGGATTGTTTTATTCCCTCCTTTAATGTAAGTCTATTGTATATTTTACACAAATAGGTTGTGTGCCAAAGTTTAACACTTAGGATGTCTGTTTGAATCCATAAGCTCTAGCAAACACCATTAAATATCATAATTCAAACTAAAGTCTGTTCTGTTTTGACTTTTATTGTTTGTTCGTTGAACTGCACGCCTCAAAACACAACCTCGTTAGGACACAATGCAGTAATACATTCAAGCTCCTGCAGTGTTGTGTGACCAAACCAAATAAAAATGGAATAAAATACCTTGTGCCACTCGCCAAATGAGGACAGAATGAGGCCAGACAAGTGCTAAAAAAATTTACATGCCCTCATGAGAATGCGAGGACAGTCTGCAGGGAGCAATCTAAAGTGTTTATTGTTGTATTTGTGAAAGCTATCACTGACAGGGCTCAACGGTGGGATTAGCCTCCAGCTCTAGCACAAGGGGTTCATAAACGAATCAGTCTTTTGAAATTATTCTTTTTGGTGAACTAGTTGAACCAATTAATCAAATCAGACTGAATCTGTTCAGCTCAAGCAGCACAGATCTCAAAGTTACTCAATCAAAACTCACTTTCAGATGCCTGACAGTCACTCCGACTCGAAATGAGCCAAAATACCAGCTTATATGATCACATGATGCCGGTTTTTGCCAACACATTCCAGTTCCTCCAACAGTCACTGAACTGAGGAAAAAATTTGACTCGGACCAA